TACTTCATTGTTTTTTTTAAAAAACTTAAGTTGCTCCCCTCACCCCCCCCAACCCCCGGGTGGCGCAGAAGGTTAAAGCACAGCACTAAGAAGCTAAAGCCACTTCAGCATGAGTTCGATCCCCACCTTGGAGGTGACCAACATGGCGCGGTAAACCTCTCCTGGCCCACCCGCCACTCCCCTCAGCAGTGTACTTCGTCAGTTGGCCTGTTCTACTCCCCATTCTGTCTCTGGTGGATCCTCTCACTGCCCCTGCACCTGTATGCATAAATAAATCATCTTTAAAAAAAACTTAAATTGGTAAATGCAAATGCAATCCAAGCTTCTTTTCATTTGATGTTTCGATTAGCACTAAAATGAACAACTAATGTCTAGGCCCTCGGTTGTGAAGGACTTTCTTTCAGTGCCTTGTAGTTGAGGTGGCTTTACTGTCTTAAGGATCAGCTTTAAAATGCCTAGACCCCCTGGAATCACAGGGTGAATTCTCAGAAGCACTGAGGAACCCCTTAACTCTTTGAAATCAAAATGGCAGCTCATTTCCTATACAAGTGCTTTTCTAGAGTCTTAAAAACCAAAATAGTCTGTGAACATTAAAAAAAAATTCAACAACTTTTTTTTCTTTCGTTTGGAGAAATATTGGTTCACTGTATAATCTCAGAAATCTAAAAATACATTGCTTTGTTTTTTGTATCCTTTGTACTTTCTGAACTTGCTATATTCTAAACCTTAGCGGATTTTTTAACAATAATATTTGTTTTCTTGGGGACATTACTTTCAATTTGGCTAAGCTGGTCCAGTCTAAGGATTAACGTGCAGAAAATGACACGTTGAAATCCATATAGTTTCAAAAGTCTTGTCTTAGTCTTTTTTTTTTTTTTTTAAGATTTATTTATTTATACATACAGAACCGGGGTACAGGCCAGAGGCTCAGGGGCGGCGAGAAGCTTCACCAGAGACAGAGTGGGGAGCAGAACAGACAGATCAACGAAGTACACTGCTGAGGGGAGCAGCGGGCGGGTCAGGAGAGGTCTGCCACACCATGTGGTCACCTCCGGGCAGGTGGGAATCAAATTAATGTGGAAGTGGCTTTAGCTTCTTAGTGCTGTGCTTTAACCCCCTGCACCACCAGGGAGGGCCTTTGCCTTAGTCTTTATATGATAAGTTCTTTTAGCTCTCCTCAATTGTTATTTTAACATTATAGTAATACAAATTATTTCTTGAAAGGCCTTTGATGTTGATGTCTCTTGTTCTTAAAGGAAGCTTTTCATCACCAAATACAACTGTGCAGTAATTTTCATTCCAAACTTTTAGAAAGTGTAATAATCTCTTACACAAGGATCTTAAAAATCTTAGTATCCCGATAGACTGTTGACCAGCTGTTGCCAGTTGACCTATTGCTAAACTATGTAAATTCACCAGGTGCACAGACACAACTGGACTCAAAATCATCAGTATGGTCTAGGCAACTTGGAGGACATTACTATCAGTCTAATAAATATCTTTATGAAATCCCCTGCCTTTGAAAGGAACTTCTTCAGGCCAAGGGAGAATCTCCAAGTGGGTCTGATAGGCGCACCCGTGGGCCTAACTCTTGTGCCTGGCTTGTGCCTTCCCTCAGCTCCTCAACAGCTGAGGGGACACTGTGCCCTGCTGAGAAAGCCTTGGGCTTCCCAGGGTGTGGTGGCAATGGGGTTACTTGAGAGATCCCCAAGAAGGTGCAGCCAGGGGTGAAAGTCAGGGCATCTCCTCCTGGATGGATTGGATTGGATTTTAAGTTTTAAATTTTAAGGAACCGAACAGGTTTCCTCAGAGCATTATACAGGGGCTTAAGAAAATTAGAAGACTAAAATTATTGCAGCTTTAGAAAATGATCTCAGGGAAGTTATTTAAATTCTCTATGCCATAAATGCCCTGTGCGAAAATGGAAAAAAGAAGGCCTGGCCCTCCCAGTTATAGAGGGGCAGCTGTTAAAAACAAAAAGGCTTTTTAGCTTCTATATGGGAAATGCATGTGCAAAATACTGCTCACTTTTTAAGGTCGAGGAAAATAGAATACAGCGCACATTAAAGATTAATATGCAGGCCCTCCCTGGTGGCGCTGCGGGTTAAAGCACAGCACTAAAAAGCTAAAGCCATTTCCGCATGAGTTCGATTCCCGCCTGCCCCGGAGGCGACCACATGGCGCGGCAGACCTCTCCTGACCGCCCGCCACTCCCCTCAGCAGTGTACTTCGTCAGTTGGCCTGTTCTACTCCCCATTCTGTCTCTGGTGGATCCTCTCACTGCCCCTGCACCTGTATGCATAAATAAATCATCTTTAAAAAAAACTTAAATTGGTAAATGCAAATGCAATCCAAGCTTCTTTTCATTTGATGTTTCGATTAGCACTAAAATGAACAACTAATGTCTAGGCCCTCGGTTGTGAAGGACTTTCTTTCAGTGCCTTGTAGTTGAGGTGGCTTTACTGTCTTAAGGATCAGCTTTAAAATGCCTAGACCCCCTGGAATCACAGGGTGAATTCTCAGAAGCACTGAGGAACCCCTTAACTCTTTGAAATCAAAATGGCAGCTCATTTCCTATACAAGTGCTTTTCTAGAGTCTTAAAAACCAAAATAGTCTGTGAACATTAAAAAAAAATTCAACAACTTTTTTTTCTTTCGTTTGGAGAAATATTGGTTCACTGTATAATCTCAGAAATCTAAAAATACATTGCTTTGTTTTTTGTATCCTTTGTACTTT